CTTATGTATTTGTACTTCACTATTTCCACACGAGTTGTCAAGAACTGGTTGCGGAGCTAGTTTGGTACCTAGTGCAACTTGTTCTCATTTCTGAAAATGCTGGCTTCTTTTCATCACTGAGGAATTCCTGGAAAGATATGTCTTCTGGTGTTGCTTCAGCTCATTGCATAGTAGGAACATTCAGTGCTTTCAGTTACAGGCTGGGTATTTTGATAGTGTTGCATGTTTTCAGCTGCAAAGTGAATTTGTTTCACTTTTGAAATCTAAATAGAAAATATACTGGTAAGACAAGACTAGAGTATATAAGGTTTTCACATTTGCAGGTCTATTAGAATTGAAGTTTTATACTGAAAACTTGCAGGGAATCGGACTAAATGATCATTGTACGTCCCTTCCAACTGAAACGTTCTATTCTAACTGCAGAAATACAGCAATTGCTGTCTTCATCTTGTGTTTACAGCTCTCTGCATTTTAGACACAAGACCACAGTGTTTATGGAAGATACAGAAGCATAGGCTTTTAATAATGCCGTGAGAAAAGTTCATGTGTTTTAAATATTTAAATATATGTTTTGAATGAAAGTATAGTGGCTCTACAGATTAACTTCTGCTGCTGCTGGCTGTTTAAACTGTTTAATTTGCCACTACTTTAAGCCAAATTACACTTCCTTTTTCTTAAGTGGAAACTTGCTGTCAGTGGGATTTCTGTGAAGAAGCTGAGCAAAGTCTCATCCTAATCCTCAAAATGTGTTGTGTATATGCATTTTTATGTACTCCCCTTAAATATGGCCATGCCTTAGGTACTGCTGAAGGTAGTGAGTAAAGTTTAGGATCTTCGTCTGCACTAGGATGTTATGTGGTTTTTACCTCTTTAAAAGAGCAACAGCCGTGCACTGGGTGCAACTGGTAATTTATTCTTTCATTATGAATATCTGTCTTTTACATGTCAGTAACCAAATGGAAGGAACACTAGAGTGATCTGTGAAGAATATAGTAATAAAAGCAGTCTTCAGTTCAGTTGGTTCTAGACCTTTATGTTTGCAGTCAGCCCTGTAGGGATTATAGGAGTTAGAGCTCAGTGTAAGAGTCTAACTACATAGGTTTATTTTTGTCCTCTTAGTTTATTAGAAGAATGTTGTGATACTTCTAGATGTTCATCAGCATGTTGAGATTGGCGATTCTCATTCATCATTAGCCTCTAATATTTTTGTGGCATGATCTAGTGCAAGCTTATCCTTGAGCTGCATAACACTTCTCACTACTTGCTTAAAATTCTTCTGGCGTTTGTTTGTTTATGCTAAACAGCCCAAGCTCTCCTTTTGTTCTGTGTCTTGTCAGTTACTGTAAAAGCTCTCTATCTGTGTCTGCTCATGTTTGAGTTCAGCTGGTTTGTACACAGCAGACTTAAGGCTGTGCAATGCTTTCAGTGAGATCTTTCCAGATTCAGATATAAATGTAGTTCATTTTCCTGTCTCAGATTAAAAAAATACTTGATAGGGTCTTGGATTGCACTGTCGTTGTACATGAGCTCCATCCCAGTAGTGGCTCTGTCTTTCTCACAACTGGCTAATGACACAGGTTTTCATCTGCAGTCACCTCCAGCTTAGTAGTCTCCACTTAGGAATGTTGGCTTGTCCCCCTAAATGTGGAATCCCTCACCCCCCTGGTTGGTGGGGGGAAGTCTGTAAGGTTTAATTTCTCTCTTTAATCTTTATAACCTCTATAACTGTCTTTATACCAGAGACAGTGTCAGTGTAGCCTGGTCTTCCCCTCCAGCAAAAGAGCAAAGACTGTCTTTTAAACCATTAAGATTTGGGCCAAGTACTTCTGTTACAATTGCCGTGCAGTACCTCCTGTGGGCCGTATGCTGAGCTCTAACAATATGAAGTTTCCTTTGTATAATCTTGAACTGTGTTCAGTCTATTGCACAAAACTGGTGTGGCATGCACAACTCTTGCCCCCACCACCATGTATTTGCACACACAGTCTGATGCCTGGCAAATCCAGGTAGATTCAGAACACAAAGTCGTCTTTAATTGATGATTATAAAAAGTCTAATGCTTCTTTCACCTTCAGTGTCTTGTTTTCAACACTGTACATCTCACAGCATTTAAAATCTATCAATTGTAGTATTAAAGTCCTGTCAGATTCCTGGAGGTGAAAGAACACACGCAGTGTGGCAAGCACTTCTTCACAGTTCTGTTTGTGCTTCTGTTTGGACTCTGGAGACCTCAACAATGGAAAAATCTTTCCACATGCTACTCAGAACTAAAATGGCAACTAAGTCTGGTGTGGTAACACAGAACTCCAAAATACGGTGGTCCCTGGGCCATGCTTACCTAACCTAGAGGCTTAGAGCTTCCTCCAGCTGTCACTGTGTGACCAGGTGTTCAGAGCCATGTTTTCCATCAGTAAGATATAGCTATGGGGAAATTCTTCTTCACGTTGCAGAATATATTCACTACAGAACTCGGAAAATGTCTGTAGTCCTCAATAGATTGTGAGTAATGAGCTATCAATTATACCTCAGAGAAATAGAGCCATGATAAGCTACTGCAGTAGTTTTTAAAGATTTACCATGGACTGGGTGAACTGAAGTCTTCCTTTCATTAATTCTTGCCTGATCTACACCCCATAAAACTTCTTGAATTAGTCTGCTGTCCCAGATTTTGTAAGGAGGTAAGGGCAGTTGAAAGCAATGCAGAGCTAGTGCTAACAAACATTCTGTGTTGCTTTCAGCTGCGTTCACATCTCTGCCGTTCCTGGCCCCTCAACCTCTTAGCTTATCTGCTTTCCTCTCTCACTTCCAGTTTCTCATCTGTTAGTTCTGGAGACTGCTTTGTTCTAAGAGGAGAGAGATATTTGCAGCAGGCTGTGCAACAAGGCTTCCCTTTTTTGCCTTGTAATTGGCTTCTTATTGCTGTTCACATTTCTTTCCTGTTCGATTACAGGCTCTGTTCCAGAGATAATTCCCCTCAAACTAGTCTTTCTCTTCCAGACTGGAACACCAGGTTTTGTAATACGTGAATACAATTTTCAAGAATGTCCTCAAAAACATACCCAGTGGAATATATTAAATTAATTCCCTCGTACCATGTGCATTAATGCTGTATTGACATGTGGCAATTTTCATTGGTTGTGACTTCAAATAGTGTATCCCTCATCTTTCTGTGCTCTCCCTCTTATTTTCTTGAGGTCTTTTTAAAACGTCTCAAAATTGTATATGCTTGTTTTGAGACATCCATCTGCTATGAAATGTGGAAAAGTGTTCCCAGATTGGTCTATTGAAAGAGAACGTGAATTTGTACAGATCCTCCATCAGTTTTGTTGACTGGAAAACAACAGCTACAAATAACCACAGGTACTTGGCTGCACTACGGTTTTAGTGAGAGCAAGTCTTATTCCATTTTGTACCTCTGATAGGTTAGATATGTCTGTGGTAGTAGATATTGTTCCTTAATTTATCTTAATTGCTAATCTTCTGTTAAGAGGTAGTTATTTTAAGGGTATGAGCAGTTCTTACCAGATGGACTGATCCCTGATGCTGCATACTGCCAAAGACATCAGGCTAAGGAGAGTTTTGAAAAGGGGAGAAAAGCTGCTCTGTAGCATCAGGCATGACCAACCTCCTGTGGTTAGGCCAATGTTCATGGATATCACAGGATATTTTGGTTGGTTGTGGTGTTGTTTTTTTTTTGTTTGTTTTAAGTAATTGCAGCAATAAAACCCTGAGGAGAGAGCGTCCTCTGTCATCTGAAAAATGTTTTGGTAGCTCAGCGACTATTACTGCAAAGCAGAGTGCTTCTTTGGACATGTAAAGCTGCTGAGCATGGCAGGGTAGATATTCCTTAGAGCCTACTTCCCTTGTTCAATGGTACAAGGGACAAATTCGTTCAAAAAGTTTGGGGCTGCAGGCAGGGGGTTGGTTGTGTTGTTCCGGGTTTTTTGTTGGGTTTTTTTTTTCCAGGCTAGAATATAGTTAGTCTGAACTACTTGGAATCCTAAATGAGTCATTTTTTTCAGCCTTTCTCTAGTGGTACCACCTCCTTCGTTGTCCTGCAGAAGGTGTACTGTTAGGATACTGTGCTTCCTGCTGTCTTTAGAGGACAGGGACCTAGTCATGCCTAGGTGTCACTGCTGCTTGTTTCCATTCTGTTGTGGTTATTGGGACTTGCTTGTCTCTGAAGAGGTGACTTTGGAGTGCTGAGACGCTGATACAGATGTGAAAGCTTTTCAGGCAATAAAGAACTCTCTCATTCTGCTCCTGGCTGCTCGTTCCTATGCCTGCTGAAAAAATCAGCCCATAGAATTGGATACTGCTTTGGTGTTGGCAGCTAAACAACACCATTGCTGAATTAGATCTGTTGCTGATGATGATCTAGATACTTCTTTCTAAGCAAGAGAGGTTTTTGAGAGAGAATCCTTTCCTCGGTGTTCACATCCTCCAAAGGCAGGCATTGTTTCAGTTTGCTTTCCCAAGTGGAAGTATTAGGGATAGGGAGAGCCCCATGTGAATGAGAAGGAATGAATGTATCAAAACTGGTCTCGTGTTGTTTTCTGAAGCAATGCTAATGTTCATGTGAGCGTAGTCCCTGTATTTTAAAAAGGAAAGTAAGAGTGAAGTAATAATTTTGTGGGAGTAACTGAAGAGATGACTAGAGAAATCAGATTTGAGGATAGTGAGCATAAAATCCACTGTAGCTGTGAGGAAGTTGGCTCCCCCAGCACATCTGGAGAAAATGTATTTGCATATACAGCTTCATCAGTATCTCGACGATCATTTGCTTTGGAAGAACAGCTTCCTCAATACAACTGCTTGAATGTTAGTTTTGTGTACTGGTTTTGGCTGTGCTAGAGTTCATTTTCTTCATAACAGTTCCTGTGGTGCTATGTTTTTTGAATTTGTGGTGAAAACAGTATTGATAATACAGGGGCATCGTGGTTAGTGCTGAGCAGTGCTTCTCAGTTTCTCACCCCACCCCACCAGTGAGTTGGCTGGGGATGGACAAGGAACTGGGAGGGGACACAGCTGGGACAGCCAAAGGGATATTCCATGCCAATGATGATGCCATGCCTAGTATATAAAGCTGGGGAAAGGAGGAGGAAGTGGACCTTAAGAGCAATGGGTTTGTCTTCTCAAGACACCATTAGGTGTGATGGAACCCTGCTGTCCTGAAGGTAGCTGAACACTTGCCTTGTTCAAATTCCTTGTTTTGCTTTGTTTGCACGTGCAGCTTTTGCTTTACCTGTTAAACTGTCTTTATCTCAACCCACAAGTTTTCTGACTTCTACGGTTCTGATTCTCTTTCCCATCCCACCTGGAGGAGGGTGAGTGAGCAGCTGTGTGGAGCTTCACTGCCAACAGGGGTTAAACCATGACATTTAGTAATGGCTCCACCAGAGTTCATTAAAATGCTGCAGTGTTAGTAGCAATGCTCAGGGAAAGGTTCCAGGATAAACCTCTTGGATAACTTGCTTTAGAGTCAGAGATCTGCAAAGGGCAGTTTACTTTGTCTTATTACACTGCTTATTTCTGGCTACTTTCTCTAGCTGTCCTCTGAGAGTAATTCTAGATTTTGTCTTTCTAGCTGTAGAATATCCTGGCAAGGGAACCTTATAAAAAATACCCAGTCATTTGTTGATATCCAGGAACACTTGTCTTAACCCATAACCTACAAAATGGATTGTGCTTACCTGATGGGGACATTGCTGGCATCTCATCACAGTTTTTCTCATGTCACTGAGTGATGGATAAGCATAGAAAAACTAAAACTTGGGCTTTATGAGCAAAGCTTTTCTGTGAAAGTACCTCTTCAGGCTTACATCTTGTCATAGGCCTTTCATAAGGTCACCGATTATTCAAGAGATTGAGCATAAGCAAAGAGTATAGTGATCATGTGTAAACTAAGAGCGCAAAAATAATCTAACAAGACGTTTTCCCCCATAGTTAGTCATTTGTGTGACAATTGAAGCATAATGCCAAGGTACATACAGAGATAAAGTTCGTCTGTCAAGGACTGGTGGGTCAAGGATTTCCAGCTTGATGAAGACGACTTTTTTTTAGTTATCAAGGAGAGTAATTTATTGAAGAGAGTTGTGTGATGGTAGTGTGTTCTGTTAAGCTGCAGCATGAGCTGTTCTTAGAGCTTTATAAGTCCTCTTCTCATGGCAGAATTATTTTGTTAAGAATCTTCATCATGTTGCTTGTGTAATATCCATACACTGTGTATTAAATTTAAAACTGTAGTTTAGGTAACAGTTTTTCTCCAAATCTTTCTGTTCCCTCATCCTCCCATCGCACAATATCTGCTTGACTCTGTAGAATTTATGAAACTGGGTATGTTGTTTTGCAATAAAAAACTTCTTGCGAAATTTTGCAGCTAAAAAATGTCCTAGTATTACTTTATATTTTTATATAATATGTGATTTCAAGTGATTGAAATATGCATGCATCCATATAAAGATGGTAGTTTTGTTGATGAGTAGATTATTTGCATATATTTCTTTTCTTTAATCAAATGATGGTTGCATTTGAGTAACTAGTAGCAGATTGCCAGTGTCGTCAGAAAGGGGCCCATAAGAGGAAGAGGCGTATAAGAATACTGCTAATTCTGTAGAAATAATTGGGTTACCATGTGTTTCTGCTGCTCTCTGCTTCTAGTTTTTTCTATGTGATTAAATAGTTGTAGCTTACTGATTTTAATGAGTGATTCAATGGCAATGCCACTGTGCCAGAAGAGACCTGCATTTTGAGCAGCCTTGTAATGCTTGTGTAGGAAGATACTTGTTTTTAAAGACATTTTTAAAATTTACATGTACTTAGTCTGTAAATGCATTGTGTTAATTTATTGCCAAAATGTAGTCACATAGAAGACTTTAAATGTAACCTTGCTAGTGAACCCTGGGGTTTTAAATCTGTTTTTCTGACTCAAGTTTAGGACGTTAATATATTTTTTTCAGCTTTACCTGTGAGAGATGGGGACTACTGAAGACAGACTCGTATGGAATGTGAAGAAAATTATCTTATATCAATTAGTTGTTTTTTCAAAGTCTTAAAATACCTTTAAAACACTGCGTTTCTTTCTGTTTAAAAAAGTTTTCCTGCCCCACAGTGTTCATAAAGAAAGTACTGAAACGACTCTATGCTGAAACTTCATTACCTTCTCCTGCGGATACTTCGAGTAGAGGAGAGGAGGCAGTTCTCAGAAATCTGGGCTCAAAAGAAAACAATTTGGATGATGTTCAGACATCATCAGCAGATGCCAGCACATCAACTGATACACCCTGCGAATCACGTAAAGGTGAGACAGCATAGTCCTTTTTCTGGTAGTATGCTTTTAAATAGTTACTTTACTTGAGAACAGTATAGTATCTAGCTTTTCCTTCTATTGATACCAACAGACAAATTTGAATACAAGCGCTAGTGGTGGGGATAGATGAGGAAGCGAATTCCACCTCGGAGATGATCAAACATTGGGAATGGGTTGCTCAGAAAGACTTCTTGGTGTCTCCATCCTTGGAGGAGCTGAAAACTGAACAGTGTGCTCGAGAACTTGATCTAACTGGGTCAAATTTTAACAGGGTTTGGGCTAATAACTTCCAAAAGTCCATATCAACATACATTACTCTAGAAATCTGTCCTATTAGAGGTTTGGGTTTTTTTTTGGGAGTTTGATGTTTTTTTGTGTTGGGTTTTTTTTTTAATAAAAAAGAAAGGCCCCCAGCTAATCTCTAATGAGGATGGTTAGTAACAGGTTGGCTACAGGGCTTTTTTTGACCTGTGCCTGTGGTAGAATTTGCTTTTGAAGCAAATTCTGTGTGTGGCTGTTGTCCTGTATTGCCTCCCATTACTGTGACAGAAGATTGTCTGGAAATCTCAACATGTTGCAGTTCCATTTGTTTGATACCCAAATTGCCATTTTGTTTTTCTAGATCAGTACTTCAGTACCTCTCTTGTGTGGTCAGTAACAAGAAGCACATTTTCAAAAGGCTGATAAAGCATTAAGCTTATTCTATAAAATGATTTTTGATGGCATTAGGAACTAATTGTCCTTTTGAAATAGGTAATGGGCTATTTATTGGCTGTATGATGAAGTTGTGCTAAATATGCATGACTGTGGAGTAATTTCTTAAGCTAAAAACAGCTTCACTTGTAGAGAATCTATACCACTCCTTATAAATTAGGGCCTTCCCAAACTCCCACTGAAGTGGGAGGTGAAGAGAACTTAGTTGACTTTGTATACCTCCTTGGATTGTTTATGCCTGGCTACTAGTACGGTGTTCTTCAGGTTAATGAAACAAAAGCTTTTGATCCAGAATCCTAATACAAGTGAAATATAGCTCAAGGGAAAGGGAACATGGAGCAAAAAGAACAGTTTGGTATTTAGGATTTTCACAGCAAAGCAACAAGGCTGTTCTTGAAATTAACAGCAAACTAACTAAGCTTGTTTTCTGTTGGAGGCAAGCAAATGCTATGGTAGTACAGAGAGTTCTGCATTCATTGATATTCTACAAATGTGTACTTAAAAAAAAAAAAAGCCTTGAAGAGGGCTGCAGTGGTAAACTCATAGGGGAAAAAGAGAAATCAGTTACCTATCTATGAAACAAACACATAACTAAACCGTTCTTCTCTGATTGTGATTTCATTTAAATTCAAGGAGCTCTTTCATGAATAGTCATCTACATGTTCTGATTTTATGGCATTGGACACTGAAAGTACATACTGAGTGACAGGCTATAATATTTGGAGCTATAAACTGTGTGGCCTTGGAAAAGTGGAAACATAAAGGCACAGATTAAATTTTTTGATAGTATATTATTTTAAGTAACTTCTTTCTTGTAGACCAAAGATTATGGGTATAACTATGAAAGAGCTGATTATTTTAAGTATCAGTAGCCTGAGTTGGATGATGGAAAATGTCTCTACGCAAAAAGAATCCCTCTCAAACTCCTTCCTAGTTTGAAATATTTTTTCAGTCCTACAAAACCTACTGAAAAATTTGACTTAGTGCCAATAAGAAATTGAGTCTTTCTTTTAAAAGAAGCTGAGTTAAAATCTAAGTATTTTCTAGGGTTAAATAACAGCTTTTACTATAAAACTCATCACAGTGTTCTAGTTGCCTTTAACAGTTATTTTCAAATTGTAAAAATACCATTACCTATATGCACAAGCCAACACCTCCTAGATCCTTCTATTGGACTGCAGTTTGCAGCCTTGCCCTTACATTTCTGCATCTTGAAGCATAATAGGGACTTCTGCCCATAAAATTTAGACATCGTACCTTTATATCCTGTAAATACTTGCATTTATATGCCTCTTTTGACATAAAGTTGAAGGTTAGATGCTTAAAGATACAGAAGATGTTAATGACTGGTTCTCGTATAATTTTGGAAGATTAATAATTCAGTATCAGAAAGGCTTGTCCCATAAAGCTTCCCACATAGTTCAGGAACTGAAGCTTACATTAAGACCCAGAATAACTGGAGATGGGAGGAAAATTCTGAAGGACGCTGTACTTTGTGACAACAGAATGATCTTCTGAATGGTATTTGAATTTTGATTAGGAAGGTAGTAATACTGTTAGGGATAGAGAAGACATGTGGAGGTGCCACACTTCTACTGAAACCCAAAAGCGGCAGGTAGTCACTTATCTCTTGAAAAGAGAACTTTTTAATTTTTTTTAAAAGTGACTTAAAAAAATCCCAACAAACCCAACCACCTGCCTGTGCCCAAAATTTCCATTCAAGGGCATAGTAAGATGTACCTTCCCTTTGGATTCTAGATCAGATTCTCCCCTTTGGCCCCCCTCCTCCCCTCATTCTACCAAAATACTCAGTGAGAAAATGAATCTCACCAAAATAGGGGCTCCCCCCTTTCCAGGACAATTAGATAAGACTTTCTAAACTTTTCTCCCCTTGAGGAACCTGATTCTTCCATTACAAGAGCTATAGTTCTTAATTATGGAAGATGTGAGAAAAGAGTTTTTTCTTGCTTCAACATAAAATTAATGAGCGTCTAGATAACCAGCTCTATTACCTTAGCCGATTTAAAAGCTACGCATACATAATAAACCTGAGCCTTCTTGGCAGGAAAAGTATTCAAGAGAGCAAATGGAAGACTGAAAGCTCCTACAAATAAAAGGACTTAATTTCTTTTTCCCTAAGCTTGCGAATATGCTTCCAAGTGCAGTACTATAAATTGCTGCACTGCAAAAAAAAAAAAAAGTGTCTGGCAAAAAACTGAGAAAGCATTTCTAAGTATTAATTACTCACTTAGATATGGCCTTTGACTAACTCTTGTTCTGAGGATTGGGTTTTTTTGGTTTTGACCCTTCTTAGGACACGATCTACTTGCAACAAGCACTAATTTCATGGAGAATGCTTCTCGTGAGGTCAGCACTTTTGTGATTTCGTTACTTTTATTGATACTTTAAAACCTCACTAATTGTTTTTAATGCCTTTATAGTGGAAGTGCATGCTTCTGACTAAAGACTTGCTACTTGTAGCATTGGCTTTTTTAATGGCCTCCTGAGTCTCAGGACTTTTTCTTGGTCAGGATTATAACCACATTTTAAAGGACTAGGGATTTACTGATCAATGTTTAACATCTTCCTTATAAAAATTACATTTTAAGAGTTGCTGAAGAAGCATAATTGTATACAACTGAAATGTATAGTATTTTTTCTGTATAAAGGATACTGTTCCACTTTTGGTTTTTCTGTTTTACCTAATTCTGAAAAAGGAAATTGAAATGCAGAGAGCCTAGGCAGTGTCTCAGATCTTGTGGAGACAACCTATTTGATCTTTTTTTGTCTCTTACTTAAATAAATGAAAGAGGTGGTAATAAGCTATTGCTCCTAAGTTCTAGTTTTTTTAAAAAAGAGAATCTATATTATGCTGCATAAATAGACAAAATGCAATTTACTCCATCTTAATAAAATAAAAACATGAATGTTTATCAAATGTGAAATACCCCAGCATTGTTATCCTGTATAAGGAGTTCCTGTTGAAATTCAGTACAGCTGTGCGATTATTTTTCTGTGTGTTCTCCTTTTGCCATTAAAGTTATTGATGCTGACAGTATACTGTGTTCAAGAAATCCTCCCTGGGACACCTGGACTGTGTCCTTACTCATCCGAATCCTGTCTTACTGCAGCCATTCTATTATGGAAAACTTCAGTTTGTGACAGAAGTGCCGAGAAGACAAAACTTGTCAAAAAAATATGCATGGACAGCCCTGGCTTTCAGTTGATTATGTTGATGGAGTGCATATGCTTGAGAAAGTAAACTCTAGCAGTATCTAATGCAGTAAACAGCTTTAGAGACTTGTTAAACAATTCAGCTTTGTTTTAGTTAATTACTGTGAAAAGGTGTCTATTGTGAATAAGCTAAAGAGCAACAGAAATTATTAGTGTGACAACACCTTGTTGTATAATAATCATGTTCTCTCAAGGGTTTAAAAATTGTCTCATTACATGCTGTATTTCAGTGGCATTATGCTGGGAAAATGAGACAGATATATCCCGAAATGAGCAGTGTTTGACTGAAGACACCAACCTCTGGTGGCTATGGTAGAAATGGAGCCCAACCAGATTTACAAGCTGGTAGCTGTATGCTTGGAGGGAATATAGAGATCTAGGGTTTGGGGGAATTTTTTTTTCATATGTATATATGTTTTCCGGTGTTCATACATATATATATACACACACATTCTCTCCCTCTTCATCTCAAACATCTTAGCTGTTATAAAGAAGTCTGCTGGGCCTCTGTGACAACTGAAAGCAATTTAAGGAGTAGCTCATCTAATAATATGTAGAGGTTGCCTAATTGGAGTAGAAAATGCCAGCCTTAGCTGAAAGTGTAAACAAGCTCTAAACTTAAATGTAGCCAGCTGTAGGAAAACTAATTATTTTGAGAAAGGAAATGGGGAAAAAAAACAAGCTTAAACAGCTTTAGAACTTGATAAAATGGACTTGTTTCAGCTGGAGAAGGGCTGATGGATGGTCCTGAGGTGACTCTAACTGTAGCATAGTAATTGTATGTGTTAATGTTCTCACTGTCCACCTTGGTTCCCTGTTTGAAATAATTTTTAATGTATTGATGATGGAACAGGTTGTGAGAGATGCCTCTCCTGTTCCTTTGTTCACTGGCAAGTTTATTACTTTAAGCTGCCATTGTCAAAGTCATGGTTATTCAGAGTCAAATTTAATGTTTTCTGCTATTACACATGCTTACTTTAAACTATGTTTACTTTGATTCTGATGAGCACATCTGTTTATTTCCTGGTCTAGTTTCAGGTAAGTCCCAGTAATGACATAATCACTTAATCAGTGAGGATAATTAACTAATTGCAACTTAGACGTGGCCTTTCAGATTTGGTGTTGTTGCATTGATTTAAAAAAAAACACATTGATTGACGGGTGTATTTGGCTTTTGAGAAGTGAACAAATAAAATCTGCAGCATTAGGAGAAATCATAAGACACTGTGGCAAAGTGCTAGTGTATGAGAGAGACTTCACTAAGCTTGCAGAGTAGATAATGAGACAGCTTTGAAAAATAAATCTGGGCAAATAATTGCCACCCAAAAAACCCCACCGTATCCTGTTCTAAAGCCCTCAGAAAGGGGGCTTTGCCTTTCATTGATAATAAACCTTAAGAACGGTGTTAGGAGTTGTTACCCAGAAGTTCTGGGATCTTCAACACTATAGTTACATGCTGGTCAATTGTATGATGAATCTGAATAAGCAACTGTTAAGATAATCTGTAACAGGTGTTCAAATCTTAGTACAGTAGATTTAAATAAAATTGAAAATTAATTTAAGTCACAAACCAGAATTTTGAAATGGAATAAATAAAATCTGAAGTGCAGAGGGCTTAACAAAAAGGTAATGAAGTTCACAATATTTGTAGAAGTATTTCGGGCATTTAGTACAACATGAATAAATGGATCATCATTCATTTGGATGCTGTCATTATACCTCTTTCCATTCTCCCTCCATTCTAATCATATTTACACTTGATGCAAACTTCTGAGGGTGCATTCAGTCCCACTGTATGCCACTGAGGAAGATATTGAACAATACTGGTCCCAGTACAGACCCTTGAGGGACACCAGTTGTCACCAATATCCATCTGGATGTTGAACCGTTGACCTGGGTCACGCTTCTGGGTGTGACCATCCAACTAATTCCTCATCTACCAGTCACCCACCAAATCCATACCTCTCCAGTTTAGAGAGAAGGATATTGTGGAGGACTGTGTCAAAGGCCTTACAGAAGTCTAGAGAGGTAATATCCATAGCTCGTCTCTTGTCCACCGATATAGTCGCTCAGTCATAGAAGGCCACTAGGTTGGTCAAGCAGGACTTGCCTTTGGTGAAGCCATATTGGCTGTCTCTAATCACCTCCCTGTCCTCCACGTTCTTTAGCCTAGCTTCCAGGAGGATCTGTTCCGTGATCTCCCCAGGTACAGAGGTGAGGCTGACAGGTTGGTAGTTCCCAAGGTCCTCCTTTCTACCCTTTTCAAAAATATGTGTAATGTTTTCACTTTTCCAGTCACTGGTGTCTTTGCCTGACTGCCGTGACTTTTCAAATATCATGGAGAGTGCCTTGGCAACTACATCAGTCAATTCCCTTGGTACTCTGGGATGCATCTTGTCAGGTCCCATAGACTTCCGTGTGTTCAGGTTCCTCAGGTGGTCACAAACCTGATCACCTACCTTACAGTGGGAGGGACCTTGCTGCCCCAGTCCCTGCCATGTAGTCCATCCATTTGAGAGGTGTAGGAAGAGAGGTTATTAGTGAAGACTGAGACAAAAAAGTTGTTGACAACTTCAGCCTTCTCCTTTTCCGTTGTTACTGGTTTGCCAGCCTTGCTTATTGTGAAGAGTATGGTTTTTTTGACCTTCTTTTTCTGGCTGACATACTTGTTGAAGCCCTTCGCATTATTCTTTGCATCTCTTGTCAAGTTCAGCTCCAGGAGTGCCTTGGCCTTCCTGACCCCATCCCTACGCAACCAGGCAAGCATCTCTATACTCTGCCCAAGGTACTCGTCCCTGCTTCCACTGCCTGTGCAGTGAGATTTTAGTAAGAATTTTGGCACTAGAGGTGTTAAAACTAGACTGTAATAGTGAACTATATTTATTAGCTTTCCATAAGGGAGTTCCATAATTTTGAGAGAAGCAAGTCCCTATCTGCAGATTTGAATTTGTACAGAAATAATTCATCACCTTCTCCAATTACCCAGCACAGTAGCACAACATTTCTATTACTGTGTGATGGTTATCATTTGAGTAAAACAAATGACCACTAATAAGTGACTGTTCATTCTTTGGTAGGTTGCTTATTATCATCATCATTTTTTCTCTCTACCTAATGTGATTTATCTAGTATTGAGGGAAAGAATCCTACTGAAGACTGAGGTCAAGCAGCAGAAATTTTGCAGCACTCCAGGGAAAAGAATTGCCCAAAAGATTACTTGAGCTTGAAGGTTCCGCTTTTCTGGAAAGTGCTCTTTTCCAGTCTCAAGACAACAAGCAGACTACAATCCTGTGAAAGTCAACCTGTGAAGAGAGGGTGATTGGTTTAAGACTGGGAGATTTGTTGATACACTGAGATTATACAGTTGTGTGCATGCTGGGGTTTTTTTTTTTTATATGGTAATGGTTTGCTTTGACATACTTGCATAGGGTTTGCAGAGACTAATGCTTGATTTATGGTTTGTAACTACTTGAAGATGCGTATGGGGTGAATAAATATGTGATTTGGGGACTCGCATTTAAACAGGTCTATTTAAAAAAAGTTGTTTTGAGTCAACACCCTTTTACATAGAAAGAAGAGTAACAGCTTTTACTAAGATAGGTGTTGCAGGCCATCCCCCAGATTCTGTCATGTGTTTTCCTGGAAAGTTAATATCCCAATATATCTACATCTTCTATGATTAAAGAGTTTGAGTTAGTCAGGACTTCTACGAATTGAGTTTAATGTTTTCATGGTCATCTTTGTTTTACAAAACCTAAATATAAATGGGAAAAAAGGGAAAACTTGAAATTGTTCAGAAGGGAGTAAATCAAGAAACATTTATACATTTAAAACTATCACCAATTAGCACTTTATCGTTACTCAGCCTGGGCAGGAAAAAAAAAAATCAATGCAAGTACTGCCAGTTCAGTGATTTAGCATCATCTTCATAGAAAGGATGTATTTAAGAATTACTCCAAATTGATTTTTAGTGGATCTTTTCCCAAATCACATCATTGTTCTTCATCTTTTTGTACTATTTATTTCATTTCCTTTATTATCCTTTCAAGTAAGCATCATCAATATCAGTTTGAAATTTTCTGACTTGTTCAAGGAAAAACAATAACTTTCTAATGCATTCTCAAAACAAAATTATTACATCCTGATGGTGAAAACAAATGTGGTGCAGCTTTTGAAAAGTGCCTTGAACGTTCCAAAATGTATTTTATCATAGATATCTGAGCTGATTGGTCATGCTGAACATTTTGAAGTGTGTTATCTGAAAAATGCCAGTGTATAGTTAAATTGCATATTTACATACAATGTGTATAGTTAAATTACATATTAGAAACGCAGACCCCTAGCAAGAATTATTTCTATCAGACACAGCTGTATTTTAAGTGTTTAGGTATCAGTCCAAGCCTAGTTGCAGCTTGGCAATACACTTGGATCATCTGGGATCTTCTAGCAAGTTTGTGCTATAAGGAGGATAACTGTCCACCTGCCAAAGATGCTTTTACTGTACATTGTTTTAACAGTCTGTCTATGTGTTTTAAAGGGGTAAATTGCCCCCAAGAAGGGAAAGCTAATGCTGTGTCTCTGATGGCTTATGGAGCTGGCAGAATGTAAAAAGAACACACTGAACCATCTGAATTACATTTCAGATGCCTCTGGAGACAGCCTGAACATCCTGGCCTTCTGGAAAGGCTTTTGTCTCCCTGTGGTTCACCTCTACCTCGTCACTACTGAGCAAAAAAATACAGTCTACAATTTGGACTGGTTTTGTGTACTGGAGCAGGGACGCATCTCTTGTCATTCCTACAGTTACTTCTCATCTGGTGAACAAATTGTAATGCTACTCTTGCACATATTTCTAAATACCTTTTAAAGTGGAAAGAAATTCTGCAAAAACAGTCTACTGCCATCATCGCAAATAGTTTCCTAGCTAAATAGTTGGCACTCTTTCCCCG